TGTCAAGTTATCCTTGTTTAAAGTTTTTAAAAAATTTATTAAAAAATATTTGCTTGATTTCTATTGACTCAACCCCAAATAATGATGCACTCTAATTAAGTGATTCCTGACGAAACCATGTGATGCTAATTGTCACATGGTACAATATATAAAAATCAACAATCTATTTTGATTTTTATAAGTAATAGCACGTGATAAATAGCATCACATGGTTTCGTCAGGCATCACTACCGTAACAAGTACCCGGCGTGACAAATAATATAGATCAATTTTTTAAAATACTATTTATGTGTGCATGTGATATATAATATACGTGAATTTTAATTTTTCACACCTGGTACTTGAGTCAGCAGTTTACGGTAACTCTTACCTGAGGATATTGTTTAGCATAATCAAGAATCAATATTACATATTAATACTAAAATTTTTAAAATTTGAGTATTTCATCAATTCATCGCAAGGAATTTTGATTTTACATTTTTTTTTAGTTACTTTTATCACCCAGAGTCAATCATTATCGTATTTCTTACATACTAAACTTTTTTTGAAATAACGTTAATTTTGTAAAAAATAAAATGACAGAATTTTAAAGGATGCTTCGAAAATTCTGACATGTTAATTGACATTAACTATAATAAGAATTCTCGGGATTTTAACACTGTCAGGATTTTAATAAGGAACAATTTCATTTTTAGAATATTCGAATTATAGAACTGAAGATTTCATAAACTTTTTTAGTATCTTTTATTAACTCTGAGGCATATCATTTAATTCTGTGCCCGAACTTTGCCTTCCAGGCGAATATATTTACTTATCCAAGCCTTTAAATAAATATAAAAATTTAATACATTTTGCCACAAACTAATGTAAATAAGCAAATAAATGGTGATAGAATTTTTATGCTAAACTATTAAGCCACAAAATGATTGAATAACTGAGTGTCTTATCACAAAATTAAAATTTTTGCGAATGAATACCTTCACGATATAATAATATATAGAAGTATTAAAGATGAGTGAAGTTGAAATTTTAACGCATAAACCAGGTGGGGGTAAATATAAAAAATAGCATTTTTTTCTATTTAACTTCAGATATATTCTTTAATAGATTAAAATTTTAAATATGGAATCTTAATCAAATTGTTTGAAACCCCAATAAAAAGATTTACAAATAAAGATATCATACATACAATATTAAACATATTTTGAAGATAGCTAAATTAGGATAGCGATGATTGATTGATAACTCTACTAGATAGGATGGTTGCAATTTTGATATACCAAACAATTTGATTAAAGCTTTAAATTAATTATATATGTAAGACTACGTGATATTAATTAAGTTTTGGTATTAGATCCATCAGTCGGCCAACATGTCTCATCAATAACTAATATTGTTTGCTCACCAAAAATGAAATATATTGCAACTTGGAGTCCTGAATGTAAATCGGTTTTTAGATGGCCAATCACGGAAACCATGGGAGAACTCAAATTCGACCAATACTATGTTAACGATTCCCTTGATATTAATGCATTAATTGGTGTCTCAGATGTGAATCATGTTATTTTACATGTTGAAAGAGATTATTCTATAGAAGATTTCTATAATTTTGGTAAATTACGTTATTTTTCATTTAATTATCACTCAAATTATCATTTAAATTCACATTTTATATCGTAATTATTATTAATTTTTTGACAGAAATCGTTGATATTGTAAATAGTGAAATACAAACATTACATGCTCAAGGTCTAAAAGGAGAAGTCGTGTATCATTCTGGTTTTTTTGACAATTCTTACAGCGAATTCTGTAATGAAATTTCTTTTCTTGAAAATGGAGATCTTGCAATTATTAAAGGTGACCCTGTTTATCGGGTGTATATCTTTAATTTCAATTATAGTCATCAGTGGAAATGCAAGGAAAATATTAAACTTCCTAAATATTATAAATGTTTTTTAACTTCAAAAGGAAAATTGTTAGCCCTTTTAGAGTTTCCATTTGTAATTGTACAATGGGATTTGACGACTTTGAAGTTTGAGATGAGATATATTTTAGATTGGAATCTATATTATAGCAAGAAATTTCTTCAAATGTGTTTAAATAATGACAATACATTACTATCGATAGGAGAAACAAAGATTGGAACAGGTCAAGGTGATGATTATAAAAAGCCTGCTTTAATAGCTATTTATTCGGTAAAAAGTGGTATACTGATAAAAAAATGTAAATATTTTTACTGATGTTAATTTCTATATATAATTTCGATAAATACTAATTTAATTTAAAAATATAGCAATTGATAAACTTGATGATACTCTGAACGAAGGTGGTTTGATTTTGGATAATATGCGCTTTATTGGATCAAAAACCAATGAACGATTACTGTTTTCTTTCTACATAAATGAAACTGATCAGAGGCAATTTTCTATAGTAAATCCGCACAGTCTTACTATTAAAGATGCAGAATTAATATTTAGAGAAATAGAATGTTACAAAAGGCTAAAAGCTTGTACTATTTTGTTTGATTACATTATAAAAGTTGAAAGCAAACATTTAAATATCAAAAGTTTAGATGATCATGACGGTTGGTCTATCTACATAAAAAAAAGGGACGTGAAAAGTGAAGTGCTAGAAGATGGTCAAGATAATGAATTCGATCCATTATTCAAGAATAAATCCTTTGATAAACTTATTGACTCTTTTTATGGAACGGATAGTTATTATAAGTATTTAGAAGATACTCGAATAGCTGAATCTATAAATAAAACAGATTTGTCATACTTGCAAATATATGGAAAAGATCTATTTAATGCATTAATGGATCCAAAAAGACAACAAGATGATATGAATAATAAAATAATCAAAAAAGTCTTTATGGTTTGGCTTGAAAAAAGCTTGTCAGAATTTGAACGTGGCAACATTTATATATTTATAAGATTAATAAATGTTATTACATCTTCACTTCCTAAATTAGAAAAATATAATAGATGTACCAGATTTATAGAGAGATTTTTATCACAGACTACTTTTTTGATTCCCGGAAATGATTATGAGGATTGTATTAATAATTTTTCTCAATCATCACATCTTGAACCTTGTGGGGCTTATCCATATGATTTACATACAACTTCTTATTATAATTATGTTTTGCTTTGGATCCCTAACTTTTCTCTAAATTTTAGACCTTTAAATTTTATATATTCAACCTTTTTTGCTTCATATTCTAAACCAACAGTCAAGCTTATGATTCCCGCAATAAATTTTGCTACATATTCTGAAAATTATTCTACATCAAATGAATTAATTTATCCACCAGAAATCCCATTTAATATTTTATATACATCTGATTATTATAAATGGTGGAATATCAAAGCTTTAATTGATTTTAAGTGGAAAACATATGGAAAATATTATTACTATATGATATGGGCAATTTATTCAATTTTCATGTTCTGTTTTGCTATAGTAGCAACAATTTCACAAGGCGAAATTTCTTCGTTTGGTCAAATATTCCTTTTATTAATTACTATATTTCTTGGCATTTTTTTTATTATTATTGAAATTCGACGATTTTTATATAATCCAAAAATTTATCTGACAGATTTTTGGAACTTATTTGGTATGTATAAATTTCATTAAAATTTTATTACTGATTGTAAATATAATTTTATAGGTACTTATTGTTTAATAAATTTGTTAGATTTAGTAGCGTTATCATTACCAATAATAGTTTCATTGATTTGGTTATTTGAAAAAAATTTATCAGTTTGGATTATTACAATTACAACCCTTTTACTTGAACTTAAATTTTTATTTTTTTTCCGTGCTATAGATTATTTTGGAAGTTACTTTGCAATTATGATTGGAGTTGTGCAACGAATTTTTTCTTTTCTTATTCTATTAGGCATTATAGTTTTTGCCTTTGCACATTCATTGCATCTTTTATTGAGACCGACTACTGAATATACATATGATCAACCAAGCTATAATAATGATGTTAATAATCCATGGAATCTTGTTACAAGATATAAATCAATTACACCTGATGGTGTTATTGGTAATGATTATCTTATTGAAACACCAAATGCAAATACAAATCTATTTTCTTTATTCAATACAGCAATTGCAGCAGTTTATTTTATGTTAATAGGTACTGTATTATCATAAATTAAGTTACTAACTACAGTAACTATTTATTTTATTAAATATAATAATTATCATAATTTAATATTTTATTAGGTGATTTAAGTGCGGTTTCTTCATGGAATTTAAATGAAAACTGGACATTAGTGGCTTTGCTAGTTACATTTTCATTTTTTACAACAATCTATCTATTAAACTTGTTTATTGGGTTACTCAGTACAGCCATTGAAAATACAAATAATGATGTATCATTTTTACAATTAAAAAGAAAGGTATACATTATGATTAATACAGTATAAACATTGTATAATATAATATACACTATTACATAATTTATTTTAATACTTTTTAGATATTATCAGAAATCGAATTATTTTGGATGTTACCTTATCAAAGAAGGAGGAAGGATTGGTTTCCAGAAATCATGTAATTATTTAAAAAGTTTTTCTTATTACAATATATTTATACAATTTAAATATTAATTTTAATATTATTAATTTAATATATTCATTAGATATTACGAAGCTACGATTGAAGAACTTCAAAAATATATTCAAAAAATTCAAATGGAAAAATTCGAAGAATCATCTAAACCATTTATATTTCCACATATTTATAAAATTGCAAATTTAGATACAAAAACGGTTGATGAAAAACTTAATGATCTTGATGGAAAGCTTAATAGCCTTATTGAGGATATTAAAAAATTAAAATCAGATAAATAAATATGAAGTTTAGAAATAGTTATTAATACTGTCAACTTTCTATAAGCACAACTCGTAGAGACCAAACTTTTTTAGAGAATAGATAGAATTTGAAGTTGCACATAGAAAGATGTTGCATTTAGAGAGAGTTGACTGTATTTGAAATCTGTATAAATTAAATGTATTGTTCTTATATATGGTGAAAGTTTTAGATTAGATTATATAAGCCTCAGCGTAGTAAATAATTACTAGTGTCGGAATCCTAGTTATCACATTTTTTCATGGTAGCTCATGTGCCTCCAAAATCACATCACAGTCAAATCAAATACTATTAAATAAGTGTTGTATAATGTTAATTACAAATTTAATGAATACTAATTTTTTTTTAGTATAATATCTATGATTATATTAGATCTTTCGATGGCTGACTAAATAACAAAATTTTAAATTTTTTAACTAACTCTAAAATTTTGAATAAAGATCTAATCACTGTCCTGTTTATTTTCAATGTTCAAATCTATTTTCGAATTCTTTAGATTAATAGGATTCGAGAATAGACTTAAATATTTGAATTGACCAGACTGTTTTTGAAATATTTTTGCTCAAAATTCGAAAAAATAGATAATATTAATCTTTAATATGACAAAAATTCATTAATAAAATTTTGGCCAATACTATGTTTCATCATACAAAATTTTAAGATCCTCGATTTATTTTGTCCAAAGGATAAAGTTGAAGAGTGTGGTGTAAATAGATTGAAAGATAGTTTAGCAAATTTATTGTTTAAAAATCATTGCTAAAATGGTGTAACTTTGTCCAATTAAATTTATATACTGTATTTTTAGGTTTATTTCCTGAAGCGGAGTGGAGGATTTTACTGACTCCCTAAAACAAAACATAATTCAGTAACAATAATGAAATACCGTATAGTTCCAAAAATAAGCACCCCCATAATTTTTTTATATCCGAAAATAAGCACCCTTTTAATAGTTATCAGATTAGAAACTGGATTAAAACCGGTTATCTTGTTCATTTTCCCCTATAACAAAAAAGGGGTGCTTATTTTTGGAACTATACGGTATATATAGAGATGGGTTTCATGCGTGCGCATGATTCCTCAATCGTGCGCATTAATGCGCACATCTAAATTTTATATAGGAAAATTAAAGTATATTTAATTTAGGCCAAGGTGTATAATGCCAGGCAAAGTTAAGAAATAGGAATGCAAAAATTTTGAAAAATTCCGAAAAGTAAATGAATGAACGTAAAGTTGAGAAGGGTCGGGGAAAATTTTGGCAAATATCCGATATTTTCCGGAGTGAAAACATAAAATCAAAAAAAATATATCATGCGATATCATGCGAATTTTATATAACGTGCGCATTAATGCGCATGTTATTATAAAATGCGCATTTTTCCCATCTCTAGGTATATAGTAATAAAAAACTATATTGCTTAACGGCCTATGCTCTTTTCTTAAAATTAAAGAGCAGACCGAGCTAATAGAGACGTTAATAATAATGATGATGATAACATTATTTTGATTCACAATAATGACATCACAAAAAAAAACCCCCACTCTAATGATCATCTATAATAGGTTTTAGTAAACCTACCAATTATATAGATAAAAAAATGATTTTTTTTTTAAAAAAAAGCTATTATGGTCCATACTAGAGCTTTTAAGAGTAGGGTATCTCATAGTTTTTGGGTTAATTACGTGACCCCAAAAACTATGAGATACCCTACCTTAATTGAAAAATGTCCGTCTGTCCGCCACGTGATATTATTTTTATTGGCCGATAATTAATTAATATTAATAACAGTAATGCTTCGGACTCACAACAGTCTGCTTCCTAGATAGTTTAGTACTAATAATTAATTGCAAACAAGGTTTAAATTACCAATGATTAATTAACAACCAAGTTTATTTCATAGTATATTTTACTAACAGCCTATTTTTTATTTTTTTTTTAGTATTAAAGTAACCTCTTTGGTTATATATTTTTATTAGAGGTTTTTTTTAAAATTGTCAAATAAGAAGCTTTATTCGGATTTTAAAATAACTAGATACAATATTTTTAAAAAAAATATAATACAAAGTTATAATCTATTAAAAGTTCCTAACCACTTGTGCTACTAAAATTTAATACCCAGCATGAAAATATATCTCTATTTTGTTATATTCTAGAACTAAAGTTAATGACTAGAAGATATAGGTTAAAGAAAACCTTTATGCAAATTTTAAAAAATAGTAAAAGTAAAGTTAATTAGAGTAATTGTATAATGTAAAAAAATAAGTTTAAAGTTTTGTAGAGTTGAATAGTAGTTTTATAATAGTTTAGTATTTATATATTTACGTTCTTGCTTTGCCTGATGTAAGATTTTACGCACAAACATGATTTAATTTAATGAGTTTTATAATTTATCGCCGTAGCGATGTATCAATTTGTGGTTACAGATAGGGATGGGTTCGGTCAGCTATCGGTCAGATATCATCGATTATCGACTAGTTGCCGGCTATAGCCGATAAATTATTTGATCAATTGTTATACAGTTAAGTACCCTGCGAAAAAAAATTCGGGCCACATACTATAAACAGCCAATCAAAATGATCAAAATATTGAAGATCCCGATCTACATTTTCAAAACAATCTAATTCTGGTCAAATTTACTGATCGTTTGGCCTATTGGGGATGAGTTTTAAACTCATCCCATTAGGCCAAACGATCTACAAATTTGACCAGAATTAGATTGTTTTGAAAAACTTTCAAGATTATAGCGAAGACTTCTCTATAACTGATTGATTAAACTCAGTAGACTTTTTTTAAATGTATAATTAAAATAAATAAAAAATATCGAAATTTGATAGATGGTGGTTGTGAAATTTTCATTAAAAATTTAAAAAATATTCGAATTTTGGTAAATTTTCACTAAAATTTTAAAAAAACATTCAAATTTTGGTAAATTTTCTTTCTTTTTTTTTAAGATTTCTCAACAATCATTGATTTAGTTCGATGAAATTTTTTTTTATTTTAATTCTGTAAGTTTATAGAATTAAAATTATTGAAATTGGACATTATTATTATTAAAATTCTGTATTGCAAATCATCGACAAAAAATGCTCGATTGTTAAGATAAAGCATGCTTGCCTTTTAGTATCTTACAATAAAACACCTTAACTGTCGCACCAATTTTAGATTCACAATTTTAATTAGCTAAATGCCGTGGTCTACAAAATTTTGACCCGCATTAAACAATTGTTACGAATTTTTGGCCGGAATTAAGTTTCTAACTTTTTATTACAAAAATAGAAATTTTTAGGGAAATAGGCCTCCACTATGGTAAAATTAGTTCAGGAACATTTTTCACTTAATGGCAGATGTGATTTCATTGGTAAAATTTCGAGCAATTTCAGCCTAAATTTTTGATCGTCGCTCTTAGCCGAGAATCTGCTGTGACGAACAACTATAGTATTTCTTGCAATAATTATGTAATTTGTGCACTTCATGCCGAATTAAAGCAATAATTATGATTTATCAGCCAGGAAATAAAAAATTTGGTATCGGCTAGCCGGTCAGCTAAGCCGATCTAGTCGACTATCATCGACTACGGCTATAGCCGGTCAGCTAGCCGGCTATAGCCTAACCGAACCCATCCCTACTTATGACATCACTTAGTTATTTTTCTATATAAAAACTCGGTATAACAAAGCTATGCTAATGACATAAATATGTCTGCATCTATAGCACAGAAACCATATATACTATTGATGAATTTTGTGTAACTAATTATTATCATGGTACAATGGACGCATATAGATTTTGTTGTAACTGTAGTATCTCAAAAAGTTTATCTGGACGATTCTACTGCATCGGTAGTTAATTCGAATCTTGAAAAATTCATTTTTAATTTCTGGGGCAGTTTCCTGTTATACTGCAGAAGGGCCCAAAATGATTACTGTGTGAGCTTAATTTAATGGCCTAATGAAAAGTTTATTACTCAAAATTTTCTCGAGATCAAAAAAAAATATATTAATAAAGAGATAGCGATAATCTTTTCTAAATTTGCAGCATCATTTGTGGGATTCATACCCTTTAAATTCGGCAAAAACTTTACAACACTGCAGTATGACAACTCAACTAATGATAAAATCACCAACAATAATTATTGTCTTCCTGTTGATAATTTTGCCAATAGGATATACAAACGCTATAGAATATTCAAACTTCATCTATACAGAAACATCTAATCAAGATAACCTTACCAAAACACAGCCCCGTGTTTTGGATATTAAACATTATCAAGATGGTACAGCAGTTCTTCGTATTAGTCGGGATAATTACTTTATCGGCAGCACTACTAGATGTCTCGAGTAGATGTTAATGCTCCGCATTATTCAAGCAAATGGAAGTGTTATTCCAAAAGATTTCGACGGAATACAAGATATCAATTATTGTTATGTTAATTTTAAAAGTCCTATAAATATATACCCATTATTTGACCAATACATTCTAGTGACATACGTTCATGCAACTAATACCTCTGATAATGCAACTTTCGTGGATTGTGGAATAGTTGTAGACTGGAATGGAGATAATCCTTGGAATGGAGATAATCCTCGGAATGGAGATAATCCTCGGTATGTCAAAAATATAGGTCGAACATTTAAATATTTAAATAATAGCGTTTATTGCATTTGCATGATAGTCGACTCGATTTTGGACCATCTTACTTACTTCCGGATACCAATATTTGGAGTCCAAATGATTATATAGCTGTTAACATAGATCCTCGGAAGGGATTTTTGCGTTTATCCGCACTGCGAGGAACAAACAATTTTGAATGGGTGCAATATAAATAGTATGCTTCGTTCTTCCATTTGTTAGTTACTTACATATGTGCATGATTCCAATTTTTTTTCTTTTTTTTTAGTATAGGCAAGGGGAGATTCGACTTATTACAAAATAATACAGTTGAAAATTTAAATTTAACAAACTTACAAGTTTCTGTACTTCCAACTTTGAGTTATGGATATGTGATTATCTACACTAATACTACGAATAGAACATTATTAGAAAATGTAGGGCTATATGCCATATTCCTGAATTATAGTCAAAATAAAACGAGTCAACCATTGGTTTTACATGAAGAATCTGCTCAAAATATAATATTCACCAAGTTAACATGCTCCATTGACTATATTAATATCAGTTATGTATGCGTCCTAACCATAGAACAAAAAAACCTAGCTCCTATTAACGGAACCAATAATACTAGCACGATCACAAACACATCTTACATCAAAATAAACTTTCTTTCCACAGGACCTTGGCTTAAATCGTATTTAACACTCAATTTAACCTTAACGTCTTTTAGAGCATTGCCTGTTGGAGGATACGCATTTATATCACAAAACATAGCCCTTAGTTCAGCTGTGAATTTCACGTTTCATCTTTATGATGAATATGATAAATCATCTACTTGGGAATTTTTACAGCAGCCTATTATCTCTAACCTTGTTAGCTCATATGATATATTGCCAAATAATACGATGTTGGTGGCGCAAAATGAATCAACCACTGCTTGGAATCTCCTCACGATCAATTTGCCTCATCTTGGACCATTTAACGGTAAGATATTTTTGGATTTGAAGAATAAATATGAAACTATCTTAAGCAATGATTGTGCTTATATCTCATAGATAGCGGTTATGGCAATTTACATGTGAAATCGGCATATCCCTCAAAAGGTTCTAATAATCTAACATTGAATTACGACGTGATTTACATCATATATCAAGAACCCGTCTTGCTTTCAGATGGCAATTTAACCATTTATCAATTGGATGACCGAATTAATGTTCGACAAACAATTAATTCGAGAACTTGTCAATGTAATATCTCAGGCACCACTGTTAAAATCAATATTTTTTCTAGTACATTCAATTATCCGGGTGGGAATTATTGTATACAAATTGACAATAATTTTGTAAAAAATGCCTTTGGTGAACCTATCCTAGGAATTCAACAAAATATATGGACTTTTGAAACAGGTTTATATCATAATACAATCTTTAGTAGTTTAAGATTCTTATTAATTGCGATTAATTATTGAATTATGTTAATAGCTACTAATGAAAGTTTAGAGAATAGTAATGGTAATGTAATTTAAATTATTCAAAATTTATTGATGAATAACATAATCTTCCACATTTTGATTAAACTAGAAGATATTTCGGGAATACTACGATTAACAACAGAAGGAACTCAGTATTTTCAAGGATTGAATGACTCAGAAAAACATAGCTTTTTTTATAATTTAATGCATGAACTCACTGATATTATTCCTACAGAGGTAGGAAGGTTGGGTACAAACGAACGTAATCAATTTGATCCAGCCGATTCGACAAAGATTCTTATCTTGTTTCCTATTATTGGTACAAACGGAAGTGCTAAAATGTCTACTGATAAGATAGCTAAAGATTTAGACCAATTAATTAAGAATAAGGCATATACATCAATATCACTAGGTCATAATACAAAATATTTAGATGAAACTTATGGACTTGGTTTACATAGTAATGACTATTTTATGTTTATTATTATTATTTATTTTTGCAATTTAAAATTTATTTTATCTATTTTCTTTAATAGTGTCATTATCAGAGTTCATTGAATTGCATAAGACATGGTTCGTAATACCCATTGTAGTCATAGCTCAGTAGCAAGGTCAAAATCACCTGAGGTAATAATTTTATTAATTAAATAATTCGTTTTTTTTCATGCCTAACGCATAAATATATATTATAGAGTGAAAATTTCACAATTCTCCAACTTGGTTTTAACCTATTTCGTTTTGTCACCTTCACAATATTTGTTGTTTTGTATTCTCCGTCCATTCCAATTCTTTTTATACCCAGGTATGCTAGTGTATCATTCGAATTAATATTAAATAACGATATTATTAAATTTATATATTATAATCAAAAATTAGTGTAGTATTTTTGGTGGCACCCATAGTGTTCAACTTTATTACAGCAGCTTTAATGTGTTTCACGGCTTCCATAGAACTCCGCATAGATTTAACATTATTATTGATTACTTGGGCGCCAAATGATGATTTTATCATATGGTTTTTAAAATACAGAAGGGTTGCGACTTTATTTATATTATTATCTATAATACATATTGATGCATTAGTGATGTTAAAATCATGTTTAGTAGGTCTTGAGCACTTCAATGCACCATTACCTGATAAGTCATCAAAAATAATTTTTCGTGGATCTTGTTTTAGCTTATTATTGACAGAGCTACCACAATTTATTATCCAGGTATGTCGAATTAAAGATAAAATTTTATATATAATCTTGTAATTAACTATTTAAATTATATTAGGTTATTTACATCAATTTTGCTGTTGTGTACGACATTATTCCATTATTAGCCATAATAGCATCTGGCCTTTCAATACTTTCTAACATAGTTAGTAAACTATAGGTTCTTTGTATTCATTGCATTTTTGAATATGATATTATTCTAATATTAGCTTTAATAGTATTAAACCCTTTAATACTTGGTGCTGTGTGAATAGAAACCACGCAATATTTTTAATAAGAGTTTTTTAAAACTTTAAATAAGAATGCTTGTTAAGTTATTCTTGTTTAAAGTTATAAGAAATTTTTATTATAAAAATTTTAAACTTTTTTAATATAGTTAGTAAATAATTTGTCATTAATTATATTGCTAAAAACTTTTAAATTTGCAAGAAGTTTTTATGTAGACTTTATTGTATAAAATTTATACATTTTTTTCTGCTTATTATTTGTAAAAATTTTATATTATAAATTTAAATACTGTACAACTATAAATAAAGTTTTGAAATTTCTTTATTTAATAAATTAGATTTATCTAATACTACTATTAGTGCAAAATATTATAATAATATTTTTAAAGTAATTATTTAATAATTTATAAATAAAATTATAATTTTAAATGAATGTTTATAATTTTTTAAATATTGATTATTTTATATTTAAAATTTAATAGCTTTAAATAATTATTTGATTTTAAATTTTTTTTAAAAAGTTTAAAATTACTAGTAATTTTTTGGCAAAAAAACAAATAAGATATACTATATATAGAGTATCAACTTGCACAAAAAATTTAAGTTTATAAAAAATTTTTACCAATTTTATTATTAATACATAATAAAAAAAAATTGCAAAAATTGCACTAAATTATATTTATGCAATTATTAGATTTTGTACTTTAAATATATAACTACTAATAATTCTATAAACTTATATAAACTTTATAAAGTTATTGTCTGTTTTTTTAAAAATCACATGTATGAAACGTTTTATCCATTTTTATACATTATATTATTTGATATTATTAAAAAATCTTACCAAATATTTATAAAAATTTAATTAATTGAAATTGATTTTTTAACCAAATCAAATTCAAGATATTGGTTATTATATTGAATAATAAAACAATTAATGAGTTGTAAACTTGTATAATACAAAAATTTCAAGAGCAGAATGTAGATAATATTTGTAAAATATAAGATAATGCTACAGAGCCTAAAGATCTCAAAGATGTGGCTTATAAAAAAACTTATGATAATACCAAAGATGAAGGTGCGCTAATTGATTTGACGTTTCAGATTGAGATAAAAATCAGAAACAATTAAGAAATAACATACATATTTAATAGCAATTAAAATTGCAAAGCTCTGCAAAAAGGTGATAGATAGATACTTTTGTGTTTATTATAAATCATATATACTAATAAATTTATTTAGAATTCACCGCGAGTGAAATTCACCACTATATGTTTTTAAATGATATTATATAACTTATAAAAAAAGGTTTACCTCTAATCTTAAACCTTATATAAAATTTTAGAGTTAGGTTTAAGGTTTAAATTATAAGTAGAGGCTAGGTTTTTTTAGAATAATAAACAGTTTTACTTGGCTTATTAAATACTAATTATTAACCCATTTTTTAGAAACAGCAACCCGGCGAATTTCACTCTACGTGAGCGCTAAAATCGTTCTATATTAATTATTTTAATTTAAAAGAATCTGAAAAAACATATGATAGAAAATTCACATATAACTTGACAATGCACGACTTTAATAATTTAATTCAAATGTTTTTGATAACAATAATATTGTAGAAAATAATGAATCAACGAAAAAGATAAAATTAATTTGAAATTATTGTCACGATGATAACCAAGCCCCTGTATATTACATTCGAGGAATGTTGGGTTTGGAAGACTGGGGATCTGATTGTGAATTGAATTCACAATGTCACGTGTGCACATAGTGCCCGTGATAGTCAGGGTAATAGATATTAATCAGGTAGATCAGTGAGCATAAAGTTTATTTGTAATTTGTATGTCATAAAAGCATAGTTTATTATAGTTACGCATAATCTAGCATTAAAAATGTAGTCATCGATTGATGAAACATATTTGTAGTAAAATAGAATTTTGATATAAAAGGAATAGAGGGATTCTTGAATGAATCCAGCTTTTTCCACAACTCTAAAATAAACGTTCTTAGCAAGAAACAGTAAACATAGTTACCAAATTGTATGTGCCTGGTAAATCATCCAGTGCAAAGTGAGTGCTTGATATTAGGTAAAACCAACCTAAAGCCCCGTAGTTAAGTATCCCCGTGACAATTATTGAATGGTTTTAAAAAAGACCTTTTAAGAGGTATAACTTTTATTTATTATTTTATTAAATTAATTATACAGCATAATAAATAGAAGTATCTAATGTGCATGATCTTCTTGAAAAGGTTTATAATCTTCTACAGCAAAAGAAATGGCATACCAATGTGTACAATGTTGCGCTTCGGAATATCATGTGACAATTCGGATGACTACGCAAATCCTGATTTCGTTAATAACAATAGCAATAATGATAACAATAATGATTTTAAGTATAAAGTCTGTGTTGCACCTTTATTTGCGCACAACATTAAAGAAAAAGAAAAAGCAAAAAAAGAAACTATATTTGGCTAATTACTGATTTTACTTCAACAATTAGATTACAAAAATGAATTTATATAACACAGTTACACCTTGAATTTATCAAAAAAAATACAGCTATTTTTTAATCATTATATCCATATTCATGCTTTAGGTTTAATCAACGAATTCTATGGTAAAAGTTACATCAAACCAGCAATATTCTGCGTTAGTCACAGATGTTGATATTAATCGCCTGAACCATTCTTTAATTTTTAACAATTAACAAATAATTTAGGCTGTTTTTTAATATAATCATCGAACTTATTATCATTATAATTCAAGTTTACTAAAAAGCCTTAGTTAATAATATATATTATATTTTATAAAGAAATCACAAAGCAAAAAGATCTAGTTTATCTGTTAAAAGTTTTTTACTGCTCAAATAACTTTTTGATGCTTATTTGTAATTTCGTGAAGAATTTTTTTTAGTTCTTTATATACTGTTTAACGTTTTTTATTGGCATAAAAAAAATATAAAAAATTATTGCCAACCTACTGTTACGAACTGACAGTTCTGAAAAGTTCATTATAGAAATTATTATGTTTATTAAAAGCCCATCATATTTTTTTATAATAAATTGTTATGGAAGTTTTGTATCCAGAGTTAGTTACAGAGAGCTTCGTTTCATTGAGTCGACTATTTACAAAAAAGTTTATTGAATTATTTTCGTCAAATATTTTTTTATTAAATGTATTGGCGCGTCTATTAAAAAACTTTAAATTCCAAAGTAGTCGTCCGAACCAGTGTTTCGGGTAAACCTATTTTGAAATGTTTCTCCCAGAGGAATTTTTAGTTTTGCCCAATTTGATCTGCAAAATCGGGTTTCGCCCGAAACACTGGCCGAGCTATCACATAATCATTCAGAGAGCAGCCTTGTACACATTTTCGATATGCTAGGTTTTCCATAGATGGCTAATTGTACACAAAATATAAATGAAAGTCCGATGACAGGTTTTCCTTTAAGGGCACTCATATTGTCCTACTATCATATCGATCTCAATTAGTGATGGGCAATCGGCTGTTTTTCTAAAAATCTCGCGTGAGATCGCGTGGGATGCGGGATCACTCGCGTGATCTGCGCGGGATTGTTTTTTTTTATAATTCGGAATTGGGTCAAAATTTCACCTCGACTTCGGAATAATTCGGGACCCGGCCAGATTTATGACACTGCCCGAATTATACAATATATCCCGCGCGGATAACGCGCGGTGCCCATCACTAGAAATGCCTAAAGTTACGTATAAATGAAAACGAAAAGGGAGAAATGAAGATATTAACCCGTATTAAGGCATTTTTAAATTATATAGAAATTTAATATGGTTTTAGCTCATTCCCTTTTAACTTCTCATATTAACAGTATCAGGAACATTTTATGCTATATACACTAGTAAAATAAAACAACTCAGATAAGTCAGGTAAGCATTATGGCTTTTTAGCCTTAATGCGTATATCTCCCATTAATAGCGACATTCGTGTCATTATCAAACATATACCAAAACCAATAGAGCTATCAGCAAACTGATAGCTTTACAAAAGCATAAGTTTTGATATATATCCAATAATATGACTTAATCGTGGAATTTACCGTGTGTAAATGGTTATATTTAACACGCATTAGGGAACTGCTAATTGTGTATGACCGAATATTTAGTATAATAAAAATTTTTATAAAAAAAAATTTGTTTTAATTCTTCCCATTTTCATCATCAAATATTAGAGAACATTTCAAATTATCCGGTGATCTTAAAAAGGAATTATAAATTCATATGCAAAAAAAAAAGAATAAAAATGAATGTCTTAATCATATTAAGACCAAATTGCAACGGAAATGACCGAACATAATGGCTTTTTAAATAAGCCCGATTTTTAATTCTAATCGTCCTTTTTAGAACGTTTGCATAAGGAAAACATACGTTTTTTTAATTTTGAAATCAGGGGACATCACTTCTATAGTTATTCTATTTATCTATTTATCTAAATCTCTTTCAGAGTAGAATACGTGACCAACCTCAATTTTTAGATACGACAATCTATTACTAAATTTGGGATGTCAAAAGTCGTGAAGTCATATGTTTTTTAGTATTTGATTAATATTAGTATAATGATTAGCCTGGGGTCAGGGTTATGAGGTGCTTTATAGTAAAATTGTCCGCCGGCAATTTTTGTTAATGACTCGAGATAGGTTTAGACACTAGTTTCTTGTATTTTTTGCGGGTTTTGCTTTTTTCCTCTTCGGGCTGATCCGTGTCGATCAAAATAACCAATTCTATTGGCTATAAATCACGTGATTGGACACGGCTTTAGACACACCCTTAGCGGCTTAGTCCACCAATATGGGGAATGGTCTAGGAAAATCTTCCTTAGACAGCTAATGCCGAAGGCAGGTTTTCCTGGACCATTCCCCATATGTCAAAAAAATTTTATGTTAGATTATTAACCAATCAGATTCCGAAAAGAAAATCAACGAACATAAAATACGGGCAAAGTCGCGACAAAAATTTGATGAAATCTCCGATAAGTTTCGAAGATAAAAAATATTAATTGACTTAGCTGCTAAGCGAATTTTAAATATCGATTTAGATTTATCCAAGTCGATAAATAAGGATCGATTACAAACACTAATTGATGTGTAATTTTATATGCATATTATACTTAAGGTTACTATTCATAATTATTTTTAATGTATCATTGCGGGGTTTTTTCCTGGAAAAAACATACGGATAATGCATCTATCCATACTTAACGTTAGATTAACTCTGTATATATTCGTTAAGTAAATAGTTAAGCTCCTACTTGGTTCATTTTCCACAGAAAGTATTTTCTTTAAATATCTGAAAATGGATAATTAATAATCTCTGATACAAATATAATATTAGAACAGGGTGAAATCTGAGTTGAGAGCTAGTAAAATCCGCTACGAAGATCGGTTTTGATTGTGTTTTTTTTATTATATAAAGCGGATTTCACCCTCAAGCGATGATCATAGCGGATTTTACCAATTCACAACTCGGGTTCACCCTGAAGGATAAGAGCACATCCTTTAATTTATAATAGATTTCCGAGGATAAAGAGATTTCTGAGATTGAGGATTATTATTACATTACACTAATGATTCGTCTGCCCGAAAATATAATCATCCTTCCTTACAAGTAACTTTTCTCCATATAATTGTCTGTATTAGACGAATGGGTAATCTTTTTTCAGGACTCATATATAATATAAATAAGCCATGCTTTGGTATTTAAGTTTTTTGCTTTAGACGCCAGAAACTTTATGATTGTTAAAATATGCTAAAAAAATATTAAAAACTATAAAAAATAAAAAAATTATGCAACGTACGTGTAAGAAATAATCCTTTTAACACTACCCTAAGATTAAATGTTAGATCAAATGTTAGATCATTGTCAAGATTATCATAAAAAGCGATGTAGAAATGCGGATGCTCCAAGAATTGCTTATAAGCGTCTAGGAACACCAATATTCGCCGGAAAACGACAATCGTCAAACTTTGTAAGGCTACTAATCCTCCTTTCATTCAATTTGAAGGATTTGTAAATGGACTTGCAGAAAAAGCGCAAGGAATCGATAGAAAAGTATTAATTTATTCCAATAATTTGTGTAGATATTCGCTTCCAATTATTGTGTATCTCATCATTTATATATATATATTTTTTATAATTTATTAGTCGAATATTACACAGTCTTGGCGACTTTGCATAAAACAGTTATTTCAGCTGATGGTTTCTCTCGACTGTCGTGCTAAATATCATCATACAATAATCGTGGTGGCTATTTGTTTATTCCATTTAATAGATTCCAGTGCGCAATATTATATGTAATTATTTGAAATAATTGCACATACCGTATCTATTTTCTTTTTTTCATTACGCACTGTCACTTTTTATGTAGTGCTTTGAAAGTTCGTTACATAGCATAATTTACAAGTTCACGCGCATAAAATTTTGAGTCAGTTAATTATTATTTATTTTCGGACCGACCCGAAATTATTATTGGTCATTATTTTGTGCAATTTTTTAATTCGTTTTATTTTGTTGACAACTGTGAGCCTACAATTTTTTTTTCATGAGTCTTTTTTTTTTAATTTATCTATTTCTGAGTACTGTATTTCGTTGTTGTTTATGCAAAAAATTTTTTAATGTTTATCTGCCTACTCATTTATGTATATATGTATATGCAATAAATGGTAACCTTATGCTCATTTTATGCTTTAATAACTGAAATGGCAATGTGAGTGGTTTCAGCTGTCCGTTTGATGTTGTGGTGGTATAATGTTAAAATAATGGTATCATTTCTATTGAGGTTTGATTGTCCGGAGCGTGGCGACGGACCCTTAGTGTCTACGCAAAGTGATACAAATGTTACATTTTTGAATTATTAATCGTGATGAATCTGCATAAATATTATAAAGATCACTAGGCTTCCGCATGGGCCGGGTAGGTCTAGTAATAGCAATACCCAAGCCCTACCCATTTGTGTAAGGGCTTAACATTTGAGCCCTTACCCTTACGCTAGGGCCCAAAACTCAATACCCTATCCGGCCTGTTAGACCCACGGACAGTGTGTAAAATCTATGTGCACAATGTGCTCATGAGCACACGTTTTTAAAAGGTTTCACATGTTTTTAGCTAGAAATGTGCACAAAATTCACAAGATTTCTAGCCACATAGTGCACCAAATTTATTAATAAAATCTTAACCTTGTGCACATGGAGCACATTGTGCACACAGTCTATTTTTATATATGTAAATTAAATAGATATTTATATAAAATGGTTTATAATATTATAAAATTTATAGTGCACTAATTTTTAAAAATTTTCACATAAATTAAGTATACAATGTGCACAATATTCACATGTTTTTGAGGTGAGATTTTATACACTGCCACGGATACCCATTCCATGAACCTAAATTTACTTATACAAAATTACAAGAACCCACTAAGTATCGCTACAAAAATTAGACGTATTTTCAGAGCTTAATTTATTAACCGATAATAATATTATTTTAAACCATTGAGGTAATTTCTATTTAGTTGCAAAAAATTTTGTTATAAAACTCACTCACCACTCTGGTCATCAAAAAATGTGAGTTAGTTTGCATTGGAATTATAGTAATTTCTATTGTGAATTGCTGTAAAGATCCTGCTTAGTGGTGTAAGCGCAATGCCGTAATCGGTCGTAATTTTTTAACAAAAAGAACTCAATTATATTGTGGTCCAATGGTCCAAACTGGATATTTTGATACCGCTCAATTCGTCTCGATGAGGCGAATCGAATCATCCAATTCGAATCACTGGATCACAAGGTAATCGTGAATAATGATTCAATGAAACGCTGCCGTAATTTATTAAATAGCTTTTCGAGAATATATTGCGATCCAGAGATTTGAACTTAATGGGTTGTGTACCATTCGATTCGTCACATCAAGATGACACGAATGATATCAAATTCATCTTATTTGGATTATTGGATCAGAGTTTTTGTAAAAAAAAAAAAAAAAATCACGACCAATTACGGCATTGCACTCACACCACTAATTCTGTTGCAGAACTCACTATTCCAGTGAGACATAGCATGTATTTAAGGTCGAGTTGGTTTGCATCGGAATTATCGTAACTTCTACCATGAGCTACAGTAAAACTTGCTATTCAGTGACGATAGTTTGTAGTTAAAGTTGAGGTAGTTAGTATCGTAGTTTCAATCATGAGCTGCTGTTACAAAACTTACTCACAACTCGTAATAATTATATCTGGTGAGCTTGTTTGCATTGGATCTCAGAAAGCCACCTGAACTAGAGTTGGACTCGAAACGAAACCTAGTTTCAGAAAGGTTCTAATCCGAAACTAGTTTCGGATTTTCAAAAAAAAAACTGAAACCCGAAACCCGAAACTCCCGAAACTATAATCCGAAAACCCCGAAACCCTAGTTAACCAATCAGAATGCATAATTAAGTATAATATAAATCTAAGCAATTATGATTTTTA